AGAGTCCCCCTCCCTACAGGAAGCCACGACCATGTGTCACGGCAGGGAAAATGGCCACGGATCCTGTTCGTCACCCAATGCGGGGTTCACGGACGGAAGCAAAATTTTGCGAACGGTGCTGTTCGTGACCCGAATTGGTCGTGAACAGAAGCGTTCGTGACCCGAGGTACCACTGTAGTTATTTAGAGTCTGTCACCTGTGAAAAGCATGAGCCTCAGTGCCAACCATTCTCTCTCAGTGGGAAACTCTGCTTGACCACCAATCCCCCAAAAGTTCTGGATTCAGGAGAAAGAAGACTTAAGGATGATTCCTCTGCTTAAATTAAATTCTCAGCCAGTTTTTAAGCCCAGAAAAATGAGCAAAACTGAGAAGAATAGGTACAAATTTACTTTTTGAACACTTATCCAGCTGGACAGTTTCTACTTTTCCCACTTCTAAGTAGGAAAATTTTAAGTAATTTTAAGGAGAGCATATTTGAAAAATTGTTATAAACCTTAGATCAGCAATTTAAAATGTTCATATTTAAGTTTTTTTAAAAAATATTTTAATACTGAAACGTAGCTTTCAGGTTCTAACTACAATTGATACTGGCATCTATTTCTGAAACCAGAGGTAACATCTCTGATCCGTTTTGTTGAACAAGATTATATTTCTTTTTGGCATCAGGTTATTTCACAACCTGCTCTCCCATTTTCCATCTTTCCTTAATACTTTCACAAGACAGTGTAATAATGACTTTGATCACCTTGAGGAAATTATTTTTTAATACTTCTGCTGCTGTCGCTAACATGTGCAGCACCTGCTTGGTTGAAGTGTGGAAGAGATGTCAAGAGGAACTAGCAGACAAATGGTTTGTGGGAGTTGGCAAATGCCATCTTTCCTAAAACAGCCCATGTAGTATTCTGTCGTGCTTTATTTTCGGAATGTAATTTTAGATTCAGCTTCACAGTTCAATTTCTCCAGTATTATACCTAGGAATATAGTTCCTTTCCAAATGTCACACTGATTCTAAGACTCCAAATTTCCCAGACTTGTCTTTCAAGTAGAGATCTGCCCCTTTTTTTACTGTTTTTATTCTTCTAGATGGTAGCTTGCATTGCTGTGCAACCATGCCATTTGCAAATAGTATCTCCATTCCACTTCTCCTTATACCCTATCTATGTGCACTAGCACACATGAAAAATCACAAAAATCCATGTACAGCACCTGTACCAGCTCATGCCATTTGTGGGCAACTTGACCTCAATGAGACCATCACTAGTGCTCAGTCCCTTCTCCCTCTGGTCCAACCTGCACAACTGTCCAGAAGGAGAGGACAAGGCAAGTGAAGGGTCTCACTCCTTTTCCATGCTGCTCTCACTGTTTCCACACTTGGAGAGCCCACAACAGTATGGAGGAAAATGAAGGCTCAAGGCTTGTAAGATTAGCAGATGATCCCTGCTGGAATATGGGCCTCAGCAGAAGCCAAATATTGCTACCAATAAAGGATTTGTGACGCAACTGAACAATTGTAATTGCAATTCAATTACCCAAAGATCTGCTGTGTATCAGTAGCACTTCAGTGAATTTTTTAAAAAAGTACCTAAAGCCTATAAGATGGGATGAAAAACCAGTAACTTTAGAGCAAGAGTTTCATGTATATTTTTACTTATATCTGTTGCAAGGATGGTTGGAAGTCAATTCTTTTCTTTTTCTTGCTTTCTGCACTTTAGATCTTTATTCTTTTTCTAATTTTTTTCTTTTTTTTTCTTTTTTTCTTTTTCAATATTCTTGTAAATTTTTACATGTTTCTTTTAAAATTTAATAAATTTATTATAAAAAAAATAAGATGGGATGAAAAACCTGAGGATCTCAAGATATTGTTGAATTGAGCTCCCGTTAGCCTTCAATACAGGCTATAGTGACTAGGTGTTGATTGGAGCTGATCATCAACAACATCACATTATTCAATATTGCTGTAAGCAAAGATGCATTTACAACTATAGATTAAATGTACATTAATTAAACAAAAGAATGGAATTCAGTGAGAGAAAATCCATAGAATGATAGCAAGATGGAACATCTGCTCATTCATAACAACTTAGCAATGTACGAAGGTTATATGATAATTTTAGGGGACCAAACTGAGAAGACATGTTCTAGAGAGGAAAGGCAGTTGGATTTCACTTGTTGGACTATTCAAACAATGAAATCATGCCAGTCAAAACCCAAAGTTTACAAAATGACAACCTTAAAAGTGAATCGCTAGAGAGTCTAAACTCAGATAAATGCCACTTTTTTTTTTTTTTTACAGATAACATTAAAGAAAAAAACCTCTTTGCTACTTTACTATAGCTAACAGGTATCCAATAAATTTTCCCTTTGGAATAGGCTTTGCCCCCCCCATCCCAAAATAAAACTTGGAAACTATAAAATCCAAGTTGCATGTTCAGTGCATAAATCCAATTAGAGCATCCATGACAAATGACCATCTAGCTTCCTCTTAACCATATTAAGAATCCATCACCTCCTACGTAATCTGTGTGTGTGTTTGGAGAGGGCAAATGAATAGGCAACAACAACAACAAAGGAAATGAATTACTAGGAATTGTTTTCCTACAACCAGAATTTGCCTTCCAGTAACTTAAATCCACCATTTTGCATCCTGCATTAAGGAAAAACAGAGAGAAATATTGATGTTATATGTGATACCCTTTCAGTATCACATATTATCATAATCTCCTCAACTTTCTTGATTCATTGCACCAACAGTATTCCCACAATCTATTAAGGTAGTTCCTCAATGAAAAAAATAAGGTAAAACCAAGATATCAAAGTTGGTTCTAGATGAATCCAATCTGATTTCTGGTGACTACCACATCATTTTCAGCATGCTAATGGATTAATTGCTTTCTAATGTAATCTAGAATCTTCCCAAGTGTTATGCCAAGATGAATGGTCTCCTCCTTTTGGAAAATAAGGACATTGTTTGCTCTCCTCCAGTCACTTCATTAGTTCTTCAGGATTTCTCAAAGGAACTACATAAAGGTTTGCTCAGTTTCTCTGGTTCTGGAGATTCAAGCTTATTCAAAGTAAACAAATATTCCCTAACATGTTTCTTTCAGTCTCAACTTTTAGTTCTGGCCTTCTTCACAATCCCATAGTGGAATATACATCTTCTTGATGAAGAAGCTGGCCCAGAACAGGAAATTGGATTGGGGGTCATTATTTATCAAATTGGTACACTGAAAGATCCATATAGCTTCATAGCTGCTTATAGCATCAGCTATTAAGCACTTTTTCCCCAAGGAAACATAGGAAAATTCAAACCCACTTACCCAGAGGCATCTTAAAATTATAAACAGTGCTATAAAAATGTAAAATACCAAAGCGGGAATTTCAAGCTCCTTTTGTGCTTGATGTAGCAGTCTTACCTAGTTTGATTAAGAATTCCCTTTCCAGTTCTTGTACCTGCCTAACAGATTCTTCCAGAGAATTGCAGAGTTTTATTTTTGGTCTCAGCAGTTCTAATGTATCACTGATCATATAGTCAATGTCTATAGGGAACAGGTGATCTTTTGTCCAAACGTCCAGACTTTTCTTCCACCAAACATACCTCTGAAAAAACAAAGATCACTACATAGTAAATACACAGCTTCTCTACTTAGTCCAATCACTTAGGAGCTCATTTCAGCAAGTTAGTTAATTTTTAAAAAATCTTGTTATAACCTGATATAAAACAACTGATCACATCAAACTTATTCTGTAAGTAAGTGGCCATTTATTAAGAACAAGAACTATGCAAAATACTTTCCACTTCCCTTTTCTGAATAAGCAAAAAGCAACATGTCACAAATTTATATATTTATGAATAAATATTAATTAATAGAATTAAAACAGTGGCATAGTTCTTCCCATTCACACATTCCCCTTGTCTGTATGATACTCCTGACCTTTTTGAATCCTAACAGCGTGTCATGGGCACGCTCACAATGTGCCTGCCATGGAGGAGAGATTTCCCATTCACAAAACGTTTGCCATGGTGGGCACTGCTCATCCCAAAACTTATATTTATCAGAACACAGATTGCCAACGAGGTTCCCTGGCAGCCTTATCTTTTTCTTCTTTTTTAATAGCACACAGGTACTCTTCCATATGCCAGTTTCCCATTTAATGTTTTAAATTAAAAAGATCTGGACAAACATTCAAACTGTTTAGGTGGGGCATGACATCTAGCATCTTATTGCCTTGGAAAATATTCATCTTATTTTAACCAGCCTGTTTCCTGAGAAGAGTATAATCATCAAAGTTCAGGTTTTTGGATTTTATAGAGGTGTATACATCCACCTGCTTCCAATTGTTTGTATCCAATTCCATTGGGAATAGCAGGCTCCCTCCAGAATGTTATCTACAGGATTCTAGGAGCAGGCCTCCTCAATAGGCCCCATGTTTTGAACAGGATTCTTCCCACCCCCGAGATTTGTTTTGCCCCAACATTACTGGGATGTTAGGAAAGCAATCAAAACCTGGTTATTACAAACTACATTTGTGTTGTTAAACCATTGTAACGTAAATGGCATGTGACATTAGATTTTCTTTATATATTTGACTTCTACTATACCCTTGCGGGTTTCTCTCAACATACAACCTTACTTTCTTGATTTGCATCCCTGGAAATGCAAAAGTGAAGAAGAAAGAGAAGATGATAGCCCGCTTTCACCATTATTGAAACAATTATACTATTCTTTCCTCAAATATTCAGTGTTCCAATTCTCTTACTTCTTTCATCTCTTCATTAAACTGTGGTTTCTAGGTCCTTTACCAATTTATTTTCCTTATCACTCCCTACATCTAAGATACTCTTTCTGCTGATACCAAGTCAATAGGAAATCTTATAAGGGTTGGAACGAAACCAAAAGACTGTCTATTTTACTGAATGCTCTCTTATTTCCTTGGCGTATTCCATTTTCTTTCTCCCTCCCTTCCTCTCTCTTCATTCTGACTAACTGATTCAACTGTGCAATTCTATCTAGGTCATTCTTGTCGATTTTATTCAGCATGGTACGTAGAACAATGTATAACTTGTAAAGACAAAGTTGATCGCAAGGTTAAACTTATCCTACCTGAAAATAGGCCAAGAAGCAGTCCAGTTTCCGCTTGCTAGATCCCCTGTCAAAATACTGTCCACAGGTGTCAAGGATGGTGCAAACTAATCTAATTCGAAAAAGGTGCTCTGGAGGATCAAGGAGACTTGCTGTGCCATCAGAGTTCACACCAAATGACGTAAAGGAGTACAGAGTTCGAAATATTACTGCTGACTCTACCATTCTGTAATTGTACAGCTCACCGAGGAACTTAGCACTGCTGATCCTCCGTTGATTAAATTTTGGCTGATTAACCTTCAGATGAACAAAAAGCAACTGCAAGGTTAACATTCTCTTTTTCTGTTACTGGGTGAGTTTAAAAAATAATAAAGACAAAAATCAATACTGCTTAGATAAAGACTTACAATCTTTTCTTCAGTAGACTAGAACTGCCTTCTCTTTAAATCTCTATATCATGAAAAATGCAGTGCTTTGTAAGCAACAAATCGTAATAGAAAATAGGGAATAAGATGTGAATCCTGGCTTGAAATACTTGGAGCTGTTGTCCCAAAAGATTTGCAGAGCCTGAGGGTGGGGTAGACGGGTGTATATTACAGATTTTCATGACAAACCAGCCTGACAAGGCATACTGAAGTTTAGTATGCAAAAGTCCTTTTTTGTGTGTGTGCCTTAGAGTCAGTGTGGACTCCTTACAACAGCTTGGACAACTTCCTGCAGTTTTCTTGGCAAGATTTCAGAAGCGGTTAGCCCTTGCCTTCTTCCTAGGGCTGAGAGGGAGTGACTGGCCCAAGGTCACCCAACTGGTTTTGTACCTAAGGCAGATCTAGAACTCATGGTTTCCCAGTTTCTAGCCTGATGCCTTAACCACTACATCAAACTGGCTCTTGCAAAAGTCCTTATAAGGAAGATTCTCCAGCACTCAAGCAGCTAACGTGTATCTCTATCAGTCAACCTGAAACTAGAAATCTAAACTCAGTATCTCACATGTCAACTAACTGAATCCTGGACATAAAGCTGGAAGTCTTAACTAGTAAATTATGTTAGAGAAAACACTAACATAGTACAGCCATGACAATTTGTTGCCCAAGAAAAGGCTATTTTTCAGTGGAGAAGTATTTCAGTGGAAAAGAATTTAACACTCACATGTTAAACCCACATTTTAGCAATATGTACACAACTATAATGTGCCTGCCCTAATCTGCAAACATACTGCTCTCAATCTCCTCTGTTTGGAAAAATGAACTTCTATTCAGCTTCACTTGAACAGACCCCAAATGTATGTACCAACCAAAAACAGTGGTTTAAAAAAGAACTCTAGTCAACTGGTAAACAAGACAAATAGAAAGCTACAGTTTGTCCGAAACTGTAATTGAACTGGCATGAGTTCCAAATGAGGACACTGCTAAGTGAAACCATAACAGGTGGGATAAAACTTTTTTTTTCCTTATCACATAGGAGCCACCAGGGAGGATGCAAGATCAAGGCTTTTCTGATTTTCTGTTTATTCACATAGCAGAAAATTATGTTTTAGCACTACAAGAGAATGTGGCCGAGATGCTACTTCACACCAAGAATGAAGTTATTTAGAACTAGTTTAAATCTCTCCTTTTGAAAAGCACTTATATATATCATTTATTATGAGAACACAGTACTACAAAAAAACCCCACATAAATATACTTCAGCTTTATTCCTGTAGTTAGAGCAACTTTTTAAAGTACTTTACCTCCATTCCTAGTCGAATATCCTCCAGAACACCGTCCACAACGTGAATTCCAACATCCTCTTGGTAAAGTACCAATCCAGCTAGAAGATTGGCTACACAGTGAATGCTATTATATTTCACATTCCAAATGTTGATCATACAGCATATAACATAATCTTTCACTTCATGGTCATGCCAAGGCAATTTGCGCATCTGTCTCAGGACCTAAGCAAAATTTTAAAGAACCTTAACTAACTCAGAGAATAAAAAAAAAAGATTGGATATACAAATCATTAAGTTGGTTGTTAGAATAAAACTTAAATTTAATGGACCATCTGGGGGGAAGAGGCATCCATTAAATCCAAGCTAATGTAATTAAATAAGCTGTGCAACCACATAGCTGAAATTTTTTTTTACATTATTTATGTCACTTTACATCATGATATAAAATTGCTACAAATGAAATAAATTGCATCAGTGGTCCTGAACTGTCCAGGGGTGAAGTGTGAAGTAAAATTTTGTCTGTTGTACCCAAAATCTGCTGAATGGAGGTCCAGAGAATTAAGATTTGAGCATTTTCAATAATATTCCAAAATGACCACACTGTTTTAGGTATTTGTTGGACTATAGGCAAATCCTGCTATCCGCAGACAGCCAATTCAACCCTCAAACTTTAATTCAAAAACTTTTCAAGAGAAGTGTAAGATTTTTTAAAAATGTGATTGCCCTCAGTGAACAGTGGTTATTACAAGCTTGTGAACAGCCACTTATTTGTGGCAGGTAAGGACTATCCACAAAAGGAGCTGTTTAAGGTGCCACAGACAAATAATGTAACAAACAAGCAGGCTTACCAAATGGTGCAGGCTAGTATGAATGTAAGCTTATCTGGAGAGCCAGTTTAAGAACTGCTGCCTTAACTTACTTGTTGAATAAGCACATTGCTCCAGAGAATATAAATATTAAAATTAATGCAGAAACTGTGCAGGAGAACTTAATTATCTATAAGAAATCTGAGAAATATTATTTGATTCAGAATCAAATGCTGATTCAATGTTGTCATTTGAAGCTCTACTCAACATTTAGGTTAGTCATTGTTTACTTTTATATATCTGGTTTCCACCTTCAATCTTCATTTTCAGAGTGGACCAACATCCTTTAATGATTACAAAATAGTGAGAAATAAAAAATTAAAAATAATCGATTTAGCCAACTGCCCAGTTTCACCCACCCCCTGAATAAGGGCTAATCTCCTACCTTCATACTTCATAGTATGAGGTATGAGGGTGGGAGATGGTCAGTGTGGTCCCACCCTAAGGGCTAATCACCCACCCTCCCCAGAATAAGGGCTAATCTCTCTCCATATTGATAATGACCACAGAGGAAGAAAACAAGGAACCTTTTCAGTAGTGACTTTGGAGAGATCTTTATAGAGGAGTTTCCGAATATATTCCTGGAGAGGAGGGCGTTTCTTTTTCACAGTTTTCTCTGCTGGAGGAGGGTTACAGTAATAGTAGGCATTTTCTACCATTGTGACATAGCGCGCATCAAGATGCATTGCTTGTTTCTTCCGCATCATTTGTTCCTAAAAACAAGAGATGAAATAATTCAGGGCAGACAAGCAATGATTTTAATTAGACTGGTTTTGATAAGCCTCATGGCCATCCCTCTCTAACCAACTGAGATGCTTAAAAAAAAAATATATACATATTACCAATTTACTATGAGATATTAATTCTTTAACCTGCACCCTGCCAACTGTCAATAAGAGCGCCACTCTTATGTACTCAACCAGAGGGACTGATAATATAGGAAGGTGAGACACCTGCAATTTCTCTCCGAGATTACTTACTTCTTGTGCCCTCAAAACACAGCTTATAGCCAGCTATCCAATCGTAACATTTCATTCTAGCCCTGGAATCCGTTTCTGTGCTTACCAGGATGATGAAGTGCTTCCAATAATATGAAGTACAGTAGGTGTTACAAATAAAGACCTGCACCTGAAGAGACCTCATTTGTGGGGCTGTCCCTCTTCAACTTCCCTAAGTAAATCCTAAGTACCTATACACTCCATGAGGAATATCTGTACCATGCCTAGTTTTTCACTCCCCAAGAATATTTACCATAGAGCAAGGCTTTTAAACATGTCTTTAAAATATAATTCTTACCAAAAGAACACTGGTTCTCAAATGGGAGTCTGGAGATCTGAAGAGGAATCTACCGCAAGTCTCTAACAAAGTACATGCCATTTCAATGTGGTGATGAGAGAAGTCGGACAAAAGCATCTGCAAAAGTTTGCATCACAGTTTAAAGGTATTTGGGAGCAAAACATTCATGCATTGTGAGGTGTTCGTCACACACTGTATTTCTTTTAGTTGCCAGGAAAACTTATTCTGGGTCACATGTAAAGCATGGTGCTACCATGTATTTACATATTTCTATTCCAACTCATAATGCTAAATCTTAATATTAAAAAAACCACAGACACAGAAATGGTTACATGATGAAGCATCATTACAAACAATTCTAATTATGCGTACCCTCTTTTGCCATTTTAAAAGTCTATCTGGAAGGATAATAACCTCTAGTTAGTCATGAAAAAGGGACATGATCTGATAAATAAACACTAACCTTTAAGCAATGCAGTGTGTCACTTTTGGAGAACATTTTAAACTTAGTTAGCTCGCCAATGAATCGCACTGTCTTGTTCTTCGTTTCAATGTTGATCTGGTCCTTCTTTCTCACCTGAAGACAGGATTATGGTTTATTTTCTAGATGTGGCAATGTACATTTTGTTACAAACAGCCACAAGTTCAATCCACCTAATTTGAACTGCATCAAATGTGAGCATTCTTGTTTGTAGAACAAGCTTTGAGCTAGGGGCTGCCTTTGCAATGGAGGACCAGAACTATAGTAGCAAAATATTTCTGTCTCTCCATTCATGCTCAGATAAAGTTAGTTCCCTGGCACTACCATATAAATAGTGTTTAAAGGCTGAATAGCCAGGATCCAAAAAATGCTGTGCACAGAGGCTCACCTTTAAAAGCACCCTGTGATTTGACAGAGGAACTGCTGTTTAAAACCAGGAGTGTACAAAATAGCCCTTGGGGTCAAAGCAAATAGTTGCATCCCCAAAGAAAGCTAACAGATTGTCTTTAGGAAAAAAAACATTCAAAGTTTAATTACAAGATTCAACACTCCTTCATGCCTGAAAACCAGAAATTAAAACCATTGCTTTTACTTTTTCTGTTTCCAATACATTTCATAGAAAGCTAGTACAATTTTCACTTGGATTTGATCTGTCGAAACATAACAAAACATGGTCTACAGCAATAATACAGAAGATGTTATGCTCTGACACTCACAATACAGAAACCAAAACAAACTCGTGCCCCCTGGCTTATTCATTACTGACAGAGATCAGATCTGACTCTGATAAAAAAAACGTTAGCGATGGAGCATTGCTACTATCAGTAAAATGTCTCACCGCTGGATAAAAAAATAGATGGTTACAACAATAAAGGCTGTAAGCAGCCTTTACAAAATGTTTTTGAAGTATATAAATATATGGTGGGCATGACAGCTTATTGCAATGCACTCTGATTTTATGTAGCAGTTTACAGATGTTGTTTGTTTATACAGTACTGCTTCTGACTTATAACAAACAAAAAGAATTCACAGCCAATTGATCGTTATCTTTTGGAATACTAGTTGGATTCCCCTTTCCCCCATTTTGGTCTTTCATTTATGGGTACCATATAAGAAAATACTTGAGAAGATTACAAATTTAAAAAGCAATTGCTGCTTGAGTCTTTTATGGCTTAGCCCAATGAACATGCTGAAAAAGCAAGTATCTAAAAATTTAAACTGCTTGCCAGTTCTGCTTATGAGAAACCCAAAGGATCTGCAGTTTTTCAATTGCTGTTCTCATCATTTACGCAAAGACTGCAATTTAAGAAACAGGGCCATGTGGCAGTCGCTATGGTGGGTAGCCAGGTTTGGGAACTCTTTGAAAATCAGTAATTTCAAAGAAGTCTTTTCACATGAAAGGTTCAGAAATAAGTTTGCTCATGAATATATGCACGGTCAAACTTCAGGGTTATATAATAATAGTTTGTACTTTAATTTATGAAGCATAAAAAATATTCTGCTATAGCATGGCCTTATACTGTAAGTTTCACTGCTATTATCCTAGATGTTTTGAAGTGTGGGCAACTCAATCTACGCAAAACCAACAGAAACATACATGGAATCTGAAGTCACCCTTCAGCATGGAACAGAGATCCTCTGCTACATCAGACATACAGGGATGCAATGTGCCAACCAGTCTTGCATAAAAAGGCAGCAAATCTAGCCTGCAAATAAAGGACAATGCGTGTGTAAAGTAGTATTTCAAAGAACAATTAGGAATCCCCAACTGTTTTTTAATCTCATTTTAATGTATTTGCAATCTAAATTCCAAACTAGATGTTTTATCTGCACATGGAGGTTGGCCCAGATTCTGAGTATATGGAGCTACAGGAGTAGGAAGAGAAGAAAATGGCATAATCCCTAGCACCAAAAAACTTTGTGTTCCAATAGCACAGAACCAAGATTACTTTCTAACCTACTGAATCCTGTCTTGTCAAATTCAGTTTCTGAGTCAGTCAGATTCTAATTTAATAAGAAACATATATTACCACCTATCTATCCAAGTGAACAGGGAAAGGGTTGAGCCCTGTGGCCCTCCACGAAGCAGAGTTCTAGAGCTGGACCTCTTCCCCCCACCAACACCAACTGGAACTGGCCTCACAGCAGGAGGAAAATCACTGAAGGATCGTGCCCCCAATTTCCAATCCCCTAAGGTAGCCCAAAAGGATACCATGATCAATGCTATTGGAAGGCACTGAGAGATCAAGGAGGGCTAGGATGGATGGACTATCTCCATCCAGGTCATCCACAAGCGCAATCAATGCCATTTCAATAATAAATAACATTTCCATGAAGTGTATGAAAGATAGTTCAAATATATGTAGGCCTAAGCCCTTTCAGTGTATTAAGATAGTGGCAAGAACATAGAGCTTTTCAGGTGTTTTTCCAGCCCATTTCTTGTCAGTTAGCCACCATGGCCTATGAAGCTGAATAATGAGCACTCCACTCCAACAACTAGAAGGCCACAATTTGCCATCCCTGTATTCATATGCAATATAGTGAAAACCAATGAATTGAAGTATATGGCATAATACATTTCTGTTTTCAGCATACAGAACACCACACACAGTTCTTAATACAGTATTTCAACATGAATATTAGGGTACTTATTTATATTACTGGTAAGTTATCAAGAAAGTGCAACAATTGTGTTTTGTAATATTAAGGAGTGATTAAGAACATAATATTCTTAATCACTTTCATTAAATAACCATTACTTGAATATTATTCTCCAAAAACCTCAAGGCAATATACATAACACACCTCCAACTTTATTCCCACAACAACCATTTTGAGTAACTTAGGCTGAGAAACAAACAGTGATTCAAAGTCACCCAGTATATTTCCATGGCTGAGAACAGACTGAAATCTGAATTTTTCCTGTCTAAAAGCTAGACACCACATTACACTGGCTCTTAGCATCTTGGTGAGATTCTGAATTAATCTTGTATTAAGAATGAGTTAACTATATTTTTTTCCAAGTCATTTATTATAGCCCAAGTCCCAGGACTAATATATAAGAAAATACAATCAAAACCACTACAAAACAAGAAAAGATTAATGTTTGAACAGGAGCTACATTACAAACTGCCCAGATTTTCCAATGAGTTATTCCAAAGATTTCACCAAGAATGACTTCAAGAACACATCCAGTTATTTTGCATGGCAACTATACAGAAATGGTTTGCCAATGCCATTTTCTAGGAATGTTTTTATTTTGTAATTTATCCTACACTCCTGGAATTCTATGGTGGTGCTAAGCACTAATCTAGTCTGATCTGATTTAGCTTCCAATTCCAAACAAATTCAGGCAGACACTGCTGAGACAAATAGTTATACAGAGGAACCCCTTGTTATCTGTGGCAATCCCCATCTTTTAATCATGGGTATTAATACCATGGAGGAGGAGGAGGAGGAGGAGGAGGAGGAAGAGGAGGAGGATTAACATAGTCAATAGACATGCGCATATGTGTAAACAAAGAATAAGGCCAAACCTGTGGATACACAACAACATTTATATGTATACTGAAGTCTATTCCTTGTCTAGCAATTGTGGAAATCCAAAACCGTGTATGACCAGGGCGGTCTGTATATCATTCTTAAAAATTAATGCTTTTAAAATCTGAAGAGGTTTATGAGAAAAATTTGCTGTCTATCCCAAATTCATTCCACACTTCTCTTCAGATATTAGACCCAACTTTAAATACAACATTTAAATCAAGGCTTACCTCTGCCGAGGAACTATGAAAAGAGCCCGAACTAATTTCCTTCTGTTAGCCTTCGTGTTCATATTCATGCAAAAATCCATCGCTGCCTATAGAAGGAAGACTAGACTTGAAATCTGAATTTGAAGCAAGGAACCAAGAAAACTAATAATAAATTTGCTTCTTAATATGCAGGTTGCTATCATATTCCAGTTACATGTTGGAGAATAATAGGTTCTTCCCATCAACAAGAGATTTCTGGCTGAGGTCAAGCCTATAGTATCATTTTGTTCAGCCATTAATAATCCAAACAAATTTTAGTTCCATTTTATCCACCTAAATTTCACATTCAGACATCAGAAAACTCTTAAAATCATTGTTAGGACATCTTTTAACAAGCTGTCAAGTTTCCTGCATTTGGGGGAAATCAAAGGGGTCAGAATGCAATAGATGAATCTCAAACACCTTGATAATTAAGAGTATTTAATTTAAATCCAGTCACTTGTTGTATATGCAGGCAGTGAACATAGACAAACTCACACATTTGATTATCAGTTCACTGGCATGTGGACATTTATAAAAGTGGAACTTAGTCAATATTCATCTCATTTTTATTATACTATATATATTTCTATCCTTATCTTTATACTTCGTTATTGTCAACAGAGCAAATATACATCAACAAGAAAATTTTATTACATAGAGTCGGAAAGTAGAAGTATTAGATGCCAATTTTACCTTGTCTATTAGATCTCTATTTACACAATTTGGGAGCTGTTGAAGAAAAGCATCTACTATAAGTTTTAGGTGTGATCCAGTACTGGCTTCTTCATCTTCTTGTTCTAGTCAAGTATTAAAAAAGAAATAAGCCAAAAGCAGATAAACAACTAAAATATAACATTTTATAAATCTCTCTTCAAGAATTACATAATCACCACAGGCAGGTGAATCATGGTTTTTCAGTGGGAAAAAAGTAGTTAATACCTAGTGCAGCCTTAAAAGGGGGTACAGAAAACAAAATAGAGAAATGGATTTGAAATTAGTACAGTAAAAGAGAACAGAGAATTAATGCAGTGACCCCTAAGAACAGACACAAGGCAAAACACACGCATAAATGTGACTAGAAAGGAACTGATAGATGAAGACAAAGTGACCATGGATTCATTTTTGTTTCTGTTTTCTTCCTAGAAGAAATCAAATATACAACATGAATATTTTAGGGAATCCATTTCCATCTAGAAGGTAACAGACTTGTAGATTCCTTATTAAATCTCCAGTTTAGTGTCTTCATCCATTTGTTGGTTAATGTTCTACAAGGAGAATACCCTCCTAGTATGGAGCCTGTCACCAGTCCCCTACAGGGTTCTTGCAAGGTAATTCAAGCTAAGAACTGTAAAGCACTTTGCACTTTAGAAGGGCTACATGAAACAATAATAAGAACATTATTATTATTATTTTCCTTAAAGCTGACTCCACCATGGATATTAGCCTTGATTTCTTTCTCTTTACTTGAACTCCAATTGTATGTACTTAGGCTATTTTGTATATGATTTGTCCGACTAATAAACCTTTTACTTTGAAATGTAGTTGGCATATTTCAACAACTTAAGGTTATCCTAACAGCAGAAGTATTTATAACTAAGGAAGAGTGAATGTTTTTGTTTCAGTCTCTTGTTTAGATAGCAATTTGCACTCTCGGTACACTAGCCACAGACCTGACTTTCACTGAGATATCTGTATAATACATTGAATTCTCCAGCTAGCATACATTTATACCAAGGGGAGATGGCTAGATGCTTGTTTCAGGAAGTATTACTTTATTCCATATTCTCAGACAGATCTAACTCTCTCCCCCTTGCACTGATTCTATTGATACATAATGTAGTCATATCAAGTTACACTTCCATTTGCCAACTAATGAAATAAAACAATACACGCACTTCAGTATTTAAACTGCATGTTGACACAGGAAAGTGTGTTTGCAAATTCTGACTTTGTTTTAGGACATGATCCCTTTCTTTTTAACCCCCTAATTTCTTATTCCTAGACCTGAGGAAAGGGAAGGGTTTTACTCCCTAAATTCCTCAAGGGTTCAGAGATACTCTGCAGCCTGTAGTGGTCCTATTGTTTTAGATCAAAGTATTCATACAGCCTATATTGACTGAACTATTGTGAAAATATTTTCATAACTCAAGAGAAAGCCACTGGATTTTAAATGACTGCAAAGATGGATGAACTCAAATTAAACAACTGTAATTAAAAGGCAAGTTAAATATAGTTAGTATCACTGGTTTTCATTTCTTTCTGATGAGCTCTGAGAAATTTATTGGATGAGCAACTGTTCCTGAAACTGAAGAACACTTTTCCTACATTTTGGCTAATTTGTTATAATTTGTGTGTTTTAATTTAATTATGATACTAGCTTCTGGATACTAGCTCAGAGAAATACATTTATACATGTACATAAAACTTAAATTAAAAGTTCTCCTCAACCAGAAAACCTAAAAGTTTAAGCTCACTACGGAGCTGAAACTCATCAAGAGGACCTGAATTTTTTTTTCTCTATCATCTACTCTGCTGAGGAAACTAGTGCAAACAATATCCATCTTAAATAATTTATCTTTTTGTTTCTAGAAAAGTCCTATTGAGTGCATTTCTGCAACTTTTCTGGTTACAAGTAATTTGACATTAGCCTTTCTTCCTGGAACTTCTATCTAGTCCCTACCCCTTACAAGCTTATCTACTTCAAAACACTTTCTTCTTCTTAGTACCACCTCAAAACTCACTTCTTGCAGCTTGCTTTCCGTCACTATTTTCAGCTCCGGTGCTATCTGCTCCCTGTTTCTTGCCTAATCATGTTAAAAATAGAAAAATATTTGAATATACCCATAACACATTACACGGAAGTAAACCTTTATTATGAGCAATTTAATAAGTAATTGCCTGTTTGCCTTTTTGTATACATTAACTTGTATCCAAGATTATCTTACTTATTATTACAACAGTATGCAGTGAATATTTTAAACCATTTGGGGCATTAAGAATATATTCTATGCCATTACAAACTAGGTAAAAATATACAGGGCCATAGAGCACGTCCATAAAGTGAATCTCATATGAGAAAAAAATTACAATAATTGATCTTATAATGGAAAAGGGAAATGTTTACACCTTTTACTCAACTTTAGTACTTGTTTACAATTGTAAAGGAAATGCACTAAACAGAAGGGAACAAGATAATACTTCTCATGTTCATAGAAATGACTCATCTTTCTCACATGCAGACACATGTCACATTACTGCACCTTTAACCATACAAAGTGCTTTACAAGCCATCTCATTCACCCTAACAACCCTGTGAGGTAGGTGACAATGTATTTCATGTTCATCTTTGAAAGAATGTGACTGAAGCAAGGCTAGAAAGGGAGCCCACAATTACTAATCCTCCAACTGCCATAGGTTCATCAAGGGGTGGCACTTGTCTTGATTAAAAATGTTAAGGATATTATTGAATAGGTCGCTATGCCTAGAATGTCACATATACTTCAACATGCAAGCATTATATGTGATGTATACACATAAAGAAACCTAATGCTCAATCCATCGGGTTTGAGCAGTTATCTTAATATGAAAATATGATATTGTTTCAATAAAAGCAAACAAATGGTATTTGTTTTCCTTAGCAATATATTGTTTGAAATTGGAAACAATTATTGGCCACAATTCTCAGTGGAAAAATGATTCACTGCTCTATAATACAATCATTAAACAGATGTCTGCTCCCACACAAAAGCAGCAGAGGAGATGCTACCTTTTCATTATTAACTATAACCCTTGCCAAGAGGATTTTTTCTACTCCCACATGCAGTACAACTGTTACGTTGTTGCATCACTGACTGTATATATTAGGAGTACTAAATAGCAGCTTACAAATGAAACTACTATTGTTCAGGGTTCAAAAGTTCCCCCAAATTAGCTGCATTATGGTAACACATCCACACGGCTATGCATATCATTAAAAAGGTGTCCATACTGTTTAATTCCATTTATACAAATTAATAAGAAATTAATAACATGCTTTTCCACATCATTTTTACCTTGTTCATCAAGAATCTTTTTTGTGAGATCTTCTGCTTCATCCCCACAATCTAAATCAAGGGTATCATCATTAATATCCAAATTTTCTAGATCCAGTTCTAGATCTTCAGTGCCAGATATATCTTTATTTTCCTTAGTTTCTTTTAGTTCTATTTCAAAAAGAGTAAAATAAATGTATTACTTTGCCCTTCAAATGGCTTATACTGAACTTTTGTATTTTTCTGATGAAAGTATAAAGCAGAGAGATATAGATGAAATAATGAAATCATTTATCTGGCCCTAGACATTTTCATTTTTTAAAGAGGTTTAAAGCACTCTTACCCTATTCCTGTCAGAAAATAAAAAGTTGGTACTATTTTAAAATAAAAATAGAAAATTGGCAATGATCATATTTACACATGGCATTAAGCTATATTGTGGTTTGTTTAAATCCATTCGAAACTATCCATGCTTCGGTATATGCCACAAACCAGTTTGAGATAATGGTCTATCACTGGCTTATGGAATCTGGCTTGTTCACAAAGTGTCTTATTATCTTGTATATCTTTATTTATTTTCAATTTGTTTCCACATATTATTCAACTGGCCTACCAAGAAACAGAAGCAAGAGGAAACAATGGGTAGGAAATTCAACCCCTTTAAAAATTCACTTTCATTCAGAGGAATTCCTTTTGGATTTGAGGCTGAATCGCTGGAGAACTTCAGCTCATCTATGAATGTAATTAGCTAATAGTCAATCACAGCAATAAAAAAAAACTGCTTTATTTTATTCAGTGATGACCGAACATTACTGCTTCCTAGACCATCGCTACACAGAATGGCCACTGTCCAGTATACTGAGAATACTCCATACCTCCTCTTGGAAAACTAGCATTTACTCTAGTAGAAGCTAAAAATAGGTATAAATTAACAAATATAGTTATAACTCTCTACTCAAAATAAAGTTTGAAAAAAAGGACAACACTATACTGAGAAGGCTTGGAAAAGTCCTATTCACTAAGCTTATGGATGCCTCCAAGCAACATGGGCTAGCTATAGTAATAGAATACAGTAGTAGCCACTGCATAAAAAGTTACTGATGTAGTAGGAAAGGAACAGGAAATACTTCAGTAAGGTATTCTGTTGTCATCTCTTCAAAGAGATTAGGAAAGAGTTTGTTTTATTTTGGCTCAAAATATTCCAGGATTTGCCAAGAATTGCTTCAGCATTTTTCATAACCCATTTCCACAGTAAGTTCCATAGTAGCAAGCAGGTGCCATGACCTACAAAGGCTGTTAGAACATTGAAACAAGCCATGGTTTGCTTCTTTGTCTGCGAGCCACTATTAAAATAAGTACGGCCTCTTATTGTACCGTGAACCACTATTAATGTAACTATGTTTCATCACTGTATGCTAATATAGCCATAATTAATGTTATTGTTAAAAGCTAGAAGACATGCACGTACTGCTAAGCTAGCATAGCCATTCTAACCCTAACTACAGCTCAGAATCAAAGTCTACCCCCCTTTCCATGACATTATCTCAAAAATAAAGCCAAATACTGTACCTCTAGAGTCATCTCTACCAGAATCTTTGTTTTGAGAACATTTTTCATTATCTTTGAACAAGATAGCTGGCACAAATGCTTTTAAATCAATAAGGTTCTCATAGAAGTTTCTGGCATCTTCATCTTCCCAGATTCCCCCCTCTAAATCATATTCGCCAGGTTTGCCAGGAGTAAAAATATCAATGCCAGGACCATGTTCTGTAATTTAAACATATAAAAGCATTAAATAATTCAATGAAGCAGAAATTTCAGTTATAATCTTGCCCCCAAATTCCTACTTCAATGTTAAAGATATAAATTGGGTCAAAATCAGTGGGGATGTAAGAGTCAGCAAGGGTTGACTATTGAAAGAAAGGTAGCAATCTTTGTCAGTTTTCAAACTACAGAATTTACATACCTTCTGGCACTGGTTTGTCTTGGGGAAGATCTGGCATATTTTCATCTAGGAGATCAGCTAAAGACTGAGAGTTTGCCAATAACTTCTGATAAGACATAGCAAATTCTTCATATTGTTTATGCCGATCTTCACTCAATTCCCCTTTAGAATGTAGAATACGCCTAGAAGAGCATGTGCAGTCCGGAAAAAAGCAAGATGAAAAGACTTTGCCAACATTCCCTTCAAATCCATTTAATTCCAAATCTAATTGTAAATAAGCTATCAGAACTACAATTTTTAATTCCTTTAACAAGAAAAAAACTAGAATAAAATGCATGAAAAATATTGACCAATAAATATTCAGTTATAAAATACTGAACATACACCAAAACATACTCACTCCTTATAGAACAGACATCTTTTCCCATTTCTTACATTCTTAATTCTCTCTCTCTCTCTCTCTCTCTCTCTCTATATATATATATATATGTAAAAGCACTTTATACAATTTAATTATTAATATATACAACAGTTCACAAGAAGAAAAAAAGCAAACTAGTAAATGCAGCCCAAATCACTAAATAGTTCTCTAAACATAACTCCTAGAAGTAAAACGCTAGTTCAGATATAGAGAAATGAATTCTTCAGACCACTGATAAGAGGAAAAGTATCCTTCTAGTCTTGTAATATTGCAACATAAAAGCATACAATACCCATTTGTTTTGTCCTCCAGCTTGTTTCAAACCTATTGATAAGTTATTGAAAAGAACAAAAACACCTTCCAAAACTAGAACCAAATGAATGTATGAAATAACTTACATTATAAAGGCAGTTACTATACACATGACATTATTGTACAAACGTTATACTTTGAATACTAATTTTTTAAAAAAATACAGTAAGCTGAACCCACTAATCTCTTCCTTAAAAGGCACATAAATATCCTAGTAAATGAGGATATTTAATTTGTTAAATTAATCATAATTTCAATTGTATAGAATATAATCTAAATTTGTCTTGCATTGACATTTTGAATGGCCAATTCCCCTTCAGGGAAGGGACAACAGGTAGATGTCCCACCTTGCTGTGACCAGTTGGCATAGCACTTTGTCAACAAAGTTGCTCAGATTTGCCAGTCCTGACTCTTCATGGGCAGAATCAATTGTGGTGACCAGGACATCTGGCCAAGTTATCTGGGACTACTTCTGGCCTGTGAACTCTAATGAAATGGACAAAGTACTGTTTTGGTTATCCCCACCCACTTGTGGGCCTGATCCTTGCCCCTCAAGGCTCCTTAGGGGCTCTGGAGATGTTGTGCCAGACTGGATCCAGGAGGTAATCAATGCCTCATTGCAGGAAGGGTTAACACCAATTCTTGAAAGAGGCTGTGGTATGCTTCTCCTTCAATCCATCCATATTTGATAACTATCATCCAGTCTCTAACCTCCCTCTTTTGGGGGAAGTTTACAAAGATCAAGATCAGTGGCCATCAACAGAGCACGCTATAGAAAGCTGTCTTTCTTAACCCTTTTCAGTCAGGGTTCAGCTCTGAGCACAGAACCAACATAGTACAGGTTATTCCTATGGATTATCTTTGTTATGACCTAGATGGGGGAACATCCATCCTGATTCTTTTGTACCTCTCAGTACCTCACAAGGATTGTGGTATTTTTTACATTCAAGTGAGACTATACTTTGTTACAGCCAAGAGATTTCATCTGGATTTAAAAAAATAAATAAATCTTCCATCTTTGTTCCAAAATATAACAGATTGTCACATAAATACAACTACAACATTTTATAACGTCCCAATTTGGTTTCTGTACAACTGAGGAATTCTTCTAAAGTAAAGAATACTTGGCATCTGGATGCTCTCTTAGTAAATGATAATAAATTTAAAAAGCAAATGGCTATTGAATGTCAATATTTAAAAATGAATGAGATTCAGCATCCTTTTATATTGCATGAATGATACATATGACAGGGAAAATGTTTTCTTAACCTACACATAGTAAGAAGACAATGCATTCTTAAGCCTCACTGTGTCTACTCACTAAGCAGCAGGTAAACATATTTATACTTAGAACTTCATTTGGTTTGAATTAGAACAAAGCTAAGACCAGCACAAGAAAGGAGGCACCACAAAGATTATTCTATCAATAATTGAGGCATAGAAGGACACAAGGAAGAGCAATGCAAGGTGCTAAGAGTTAACAGTGGAGTGAAATAAAATAATGCAAAAGGGTTCAATAATATGACAAAATAATTATTTTGTACAGCTCCCTAACAAGGCCAGTGGTTTGAGGTGTGGCAAGAAAAGTCAAGAGAAAAAGTTTACATAAGTCAATACAGGAGATGTACAAACAAGTCCTCCTTCAAGAATAAGGAACACATTTTTATAATGCCATAATAGCAGAAGCAGCAACATATGGTGACAGGATGAATGAGTATTAACAAGAGTAATCAAATATCAGTTGAAAAGTAACTGAAAGCACGAATAAAGAATATAGGCTGGTTGTGGAAGAAAAACTGGAGGAGGGAGTACTGTAGGCGGGTTATAAATCTAACAAAATAAAAATACACATTGATTGTGATCAACCAAGAGTAAGCTAAGGGCAATAAATTCAGTCTTTATCATACAAAGTTGAATGATAATGCTTTTGATTCAGCATTTTTGGAAAAATCGTTCTGAAAGGAGGGGGAATGCCTTCAGAAAAATACAGGAAGTAGGATTCAAGAAAGGAAACAAATTTGTAAAAATTGCCTACAACTTTCTGTTGCTGGAAGCTCCTGTTAGATGAGTCCTTCCTGTGAACAGAAGGATTTCTTGCTTTTACAGAACGGTACAGACGCGGTGGCGCAGTGGCTTAATGACGCTGAAAGTTGCCGGCCAGAAATGGCTGACGCTT